AAAAGAAATTGTGCATTAGCTATTTCACATAAAGACTTTTTTGTATCCGACACTTATAAAATATTTATAAAAGTTTCATTATGATTTATTTGTTTTTATTCACGTTTCTTATTTCAGATAGTATTTTATAATATTTTGATTCCAATAAATTTACTGAATTTTCATTCTTTTCATTAATTTATTTATTATAATTTTCATATAATTTCTCTTTTTATGAAGACAAGTTTTTTTTTTAAAAAAAAACTAAATGATCAAATATTAATAAACCGAACAAGTGAACTCTAAAACCAATAGCACCGTCTGTAGTTTAAAATTATCATACAATATCAATGCACACTATGTATTATCATTTAGGTACAATTTATATTTTATGGTATTTTATTAATATTATCTACAATTCATATTTTGTCGTATTTTATTTTATGAAAACACTTTGTCCACTCAAAGGTAGATAATATTCAAATTACCCGGTTAATGTACCTACAAAATAAACGTTTTACAAATATGTTTACTTTATCCAATAAGCATGGGTAGTGTTCATATAAACCGGACGGTGTGTACATTACCCGATTTTCTTACCCTACCCGTAACATATATATTATCAACAGTATTTCCCATGTAATACGAATATTACGTCAGTATTTTCGTTTTTGTAGACGAGTACTTTGCGTGTTTTTAATTTATATTCACGGACCACAGTTTAGGAAACACCGGTCTAAAGCTAAACGTTCAAATGATTATGAATAACAGTTGCGACGTGAAGTGCACCGTGAGCACGAGGGTGAAACGAACGGTCACTGCGAATAATAAACTTCGAATATATTTTTAAATTTAAATTTTTTTTTTTTTTGAGTAGCAAAAAAAATATCCCTCGATACCCCGCAGATCATCATAAAACGATTTCAATTTTGCGAACCGTGTACGGTGGGAAATGACCCTGGGTTTCCGATGGCCGCGCGTACACCGTCGCAGGAGTTGTAATCGTACGACGCGCGCTCATCCGACGATCATTCGTTCGTTTGTTGTTGTTGCATCCGGTTACGAAAATCACTGCCACGTTCAGCGACGTGCGCAGAAAAAAAATACTTTGCGGTGAGAATAGTTACGTTTTAAATTCTCTACTACGTAAGTAACAACTTTTTTATCGTAATCAGTTGACCCAAACATAAATTGAAATATAAAATATATTATTATTTAGTTTATTGTAACCATGAGAATTGTTCAATGATGACACTATAGAACAATACACCTAGGTCTTAAAATCATTATATATTGACGGAATTTTGAGGGGGGTTTTGATTCGTGAAACCCCCCCCCCCCCCAAAAAAAAAAAAAAAAAACTAGATACGCTACTGACCGCGTTGTTCCGCATCGCAGTGTTTCGCCCGATCGTCTAAACCGCGCGTAGTATTGGTTCAGAATTTGTACGCGCATACCGTCAATAAACCGATGTTTGATGATGCGTACGTTCGGACAGTAATACTGTGTTGTTATATCGGCGGACACGCGAATTCCATTTTATATTTTCGTCCTCGACTAAACTTGTCGGCTGTGTAAAATAAAAAAAAACCCGCTTTGCACGATCGGCCGTACATTGAACACCAAACGGTTTTCATAAAAATTATTGTTTAAACATTTTTATTTTTATTTTTTTCTCTCCCGTCACTTTTTCCGGCTAATTGTATTTTAACTAGTTCATACGGTTGTTTTGTTCTCGTTAAAATTGAATAAGGGTTTTCCAAAAGTTTGAGGTAATCTGCGCGCGCACGCGCTATTGATTTTAATTTATACGCAGCTTTATTAGTTCAAACTTGAAAGCCTATCCGTAATGGTTTTTACCGATGAGTATATAGCGCAAGGGAACACAAAATATTCGATCATCGCATCATCGTATTGGATAATAATGTATGATATGGTTCCGCCGGATCGCACACACCGTTTTGGCGAACGTATCGCGAAGGTTAATGTTTCGGCAATTACATATAAGATGCATTCGATCAATACGTTTGAATGTTTGAATCCTAAACGTTCCATTTTCGACGTGAAGAAATATCCGGTTTCGCCAATAAACCGTAACCCTTCTACGCGTTTTTAGTGGTTTTTACACGCACGCCGTTCGCAATGTTCGCGCGAAAGTCGAGAGTTTTTGTTTTATTTCCATATATAATTCATCCGGACATCGTGAACGGCCATCGCGTTCCGTATCGTATTGTATCGCTACGTACGAAGTCATCGGTCGTAACAAAACACTGCATCGTCTGTATTGCTATTGCGGTATCGGTGCACTTTTATACTATGCAATTTTAATATTATGATCGACACCGCGTGACGATGTAACAAGCAACTGTTACAATAATATAAATCTAGTGGTAAGTGGTTATTGATTTTCTTTTATTTTTTTCCCCCGCTACGGACAATACATGCGACGTCTGCGCTACCACTGCATTATCGCGACGGCGACTTCGGTGTAGAACGTAGAACTGTTCGCGTTTCAAGGGCACGGATTCGTCCCCGCTCTTTTACGATGACGCATTTACCCGTAAGACGATTTTACTTGCGTTATTTTTCTCACGGAATAAACAACCTGATCTTGTCGCGGTCAGCGCGTCGGACACGGCCCCACGTCCATCGGCACGCGTCGCACGCCGCGATCCCGGTGATCGAATGCAGAAACCGTACCGCTCTCGTACGGCGAGGGATTTCATTATTTGTTTAATATTTCGTTCGCGACGCAATATCTACTGAACGATCTCTCTCTCTCTCTCCTCTACGTTCGACGTATAGCCCGGAAACCCGTGAGTTAGCATACACGGCACGGATTGCGATGACCGTGCAGCAGTTGTGCGCACGCGGTCGTTTGTATCAATCGTAAGCGTCCGGAGGTACGACATTGTCGGTGACGTCTGTGTCATCAGCGAAAACAACGGAACGGGGAACCCACGAGAGAGAGGAAATAATCGGACTGGTTCACTGCTGACCATTTATCACGCGAGTCGACCGGCGAGTAACTGGGTGGGAAGACGTTTCGAACAGAAGACGTTCGCGACGAGAGCGCGAATCGTTGAGCGAACCGAGAGTTATCCCGCATCGAAGGGAAAAACAATCTCAGCCCTAACGAAACGGGTGCAATGTCCGTGCTTAAAGGTTATTGAAATATATATCGAAAAAAAAAAAAAAGAATGCCACGCACCGAGATAGATTTACGGCGACAGATTTATCCGACGAGAGGAAATGTTTCTTATCATTCCTCCGCCGACGACGTCGGAATAATAATGATGAACAAAGTCTCGAAACATGACCGTAGATTATTATTATGATTGTTAAAAATAAATAATAAAAATCCTCAGAGGATAAGCCGTACATCGTATGGTAATACATATAAATAAATTATTATTTAATGTGGTCGCACCCTGGGTCCCGAACTTTCACCGGTGAAAAGCCTCAAGCGGATGGTTTTGGAAAACTGGACCGAGTAGTACTCTGTACGAGGAGCAACTCCTTATTGTAATAAGTGACATGAACGGTGGCCTCTTTTTTCCAGCGATAAAAACGTTACCTCTAAAGGGAGACGCATCAAGTGAAAAAAAATGGTCGTTCGTGAAATCGGGTCTCTGACTTGGTGAAATTTTTTCTAAACAAATTATATATGGCTGAAAATGTTAAACGTTGGAATTTAATCGAACCCGTTTTCGAAATTCTAATCAAAATCGGTAGGTAAAATGCACCACCACCGAGGACCATTCACCAGCGTGCCGCGTCACATAATCGTCACCGTTACCGTTGATTCGACTGGCTGCACGACGTCTACTCGTTGCTACCCATCAGCGGCAAAAGATTTGTTCTGATCTGGTCCGCCGTCGTCCCTTGCGGATATCCATCATGCGTGATTACCCCCCCCCCCCCCCGGGTTCTCGTCCGTCTTTGCAGTTGCCCCGTGTTAAAGAACGGTTTCCAAGCTGCGTTTAGTCGCAATGACCGTGTGATTCACTGCTCTATAAATGAAAGTGCCTAATCGTGGTTTCCGACGTCCGATCCTCGTGTACGTGTCAACAACAGTTTGACGATCATAGTGCTTTGGAAGCAGTGTATTATGTGCGTCGCATTGCGATAACCATCTTCTTAAGTAATCAACTTTAAGGTTGGTTTTACAATACTCTTCTTTGTTACTGGCCATTATATTCAGTTCCTTGTAGGTTTTCAGTCCGCAACCTTTAATAACCTTTTTAATAAGCGTTGTTCTAGGAAATCCTCTGCTTCTCTCGCCTTTCATTTGTCCTTCCAATATACTATGGCGTGGTTTCTGTTCGTGTCTTGATGTATGTCCAATTGGTCTTCATTCTTTGACTGATCTTAGTAATCCTCTAGGTTCTTTTATTTCATTGAGTACACCGTTATTGGTACGGAACTCAATCCGGATAACTCTTAACATCCTATAACTAATTGCGATTTTATTCTGAACGAATTTATTGTATATTTTTATAAACGAATTAATTAAATCGAAAAACTCTATTCACTGACAATTGACAACTGACGATGGGCCGTTAGTCGAATAAGTCTTGTATATATTTGAAGTATGCATTATTTTCATTTACTTACTCTTATATTTTATTATTATGTATAATTTTTTTTCCATGTTTAATGATTTTCTATGCCAAATAATAAATTTAAAAAAATATACACGCCTGGGCAAAACGAAATATCGAGCTGAACCAAACCGAACCGATGAGTCGTTGCGTTCAACGGCGGAGGAGACTTTTAGCGCACGACGTTCGAGAAATCAACTGGCGGTGCCCGAATATATTGTAATATTTTACCACGCATCAGCTCAGCTCGGCCGACCACTGCAGTGCCGTTTATTTCTGTACGCGCTCGTCGTCTATGCCGAGTGCCAACTGCAAACGCGACCGATATGAAATAACATAAAAAACGAAAACTGCCCGCACTGCCGTCGTCACAGGTTTTCTATCCGTTCTCACGCGTGACTGTGCGTATGTGTGTGCGTGCGCGCGTTTGTGTTCGTGTTTATGCGTGTAAATGTGTGTGGGTGTGTGTGTGTACGTGTGCGTGTGTTGTATGTTTAAATCGGTGAAAAAGGTTTCATAAACGGTCATGTACCGGACCGGAAGCTTCTAGAGTTCGCGACGCGTGCGGCGAGAGGAAACGAGTATCGCACGGGCCACAGGTCGGTAGCCTTTTCGTAGGAAAACATTCGTTTTTCGAAAACTTTGTGGGACCGTAATGTTTGATGAGCCGCACTGGTGCGAACAAAATTTTTTCATCTATCTCCACGATTGAATTCAGTTCAAATCCCTGTTCACCAGTAAGTAAGTCATTTAAAAAGCGAACCGAACAATTTTATCGCGACAGATTTGATTGGTGTGACGTATATTTTAATCTTAAAGTCCGTGATTCCGAAGAGAAGCGCTTGTTTGTTTGGGATATTATCACGATGACGAATAAGAAAAATCTAGGTGTCCAAAGAGACACTATCCCGATCATAGGCGTAACTTGGAATTTCATTAGGGGCCAAATATATAATTACATATCTAACGAAAATAGCTGTCCGCGGCTAAACGCCATTTCACTACTTACATATTATTATATAAAATTATTCATTTTCTAATATTATGTTAGATAAGCGAAAATTGAAAATCAAGATTTAAAAAAAAAATTGTATAGTAATAGCTATAACCAACTGCCTTGTACTAATTTTAAAACAAGGTACCTATGTTAAATATCAGAGGGAGCACTGTCCCTCCTAACTTATTCTAGGGGGACGATTGCCCCCTTGCTCCCCCCAGTTTATGCGAAATTATTTCAAAACCACCTCGTGCACATTTCACGCATCGACGACGTCACGGTTCGCATGCGCGTACATGAGAGTCTCTGGACGAGTGCAAGTGCACATATCTACGTGTCACGAACAAGTGCACGTTTAAAAAAAACTTGCCCGTCTGCGCCATTATTTTGGCCTCTTTACCGACGACATCTCAAAGGCTTTTGATTTTTCTCACATCGTATAGCTTACCGAATATGCGAAGTGCGTTTCATTTGCGATTGGTGATGAAATAATATTTGGCAAATATCCGGAATAATGCCGTCGAGTAGTAAGCTAAAGATAGTATTGGGGACGAATCATAGGTGAAATAATAATTCTAATCAACTACAGTCCAATAGAAAACAAAATAAATAAATAATATAAATTGTGTGACATTTGTATTGAAATGTATTTAATAGATAACTGTTGGATAAAAATTAGTTTGATCGATTAATATACATGAATTATTGTTTGTTCTGTATTCCTCTTAACTTGACAGGATAATTTATGACGTTAACAATTGTTAAGAGTAGGCGAATCTCGCGCTAAAGCTTCCTGTATGGTTGGGTCAATCGAAGGTTTGCTGCACTAACTTACGATATAGGGCTGAAATCGAAAAGCATCGGTACATTTTTAACGTCCGGGTTAATGAGCTACAACCCGAGTAGGTTTTACAGTCACTGAGACGAAAAAGATAATGTCGTCCGGAACGGCGGCGGTCGCGCTTTGTTTTTCGTGTGTAAAATTTGTCAATACATTTCATTGGACGCATGTTCTGTAAAGATCGCGCGAAAACCGGTAAGGATGAGATCTATCATATTTTGTTAACTCAATCGTTCAAGAACGAACCAAATTGGTTGCAACAAAGGTATATTGATATATATATATACTCGTAAGAAAAAATCGATTTCATCACCTCGTGCTGACCGAAAAACGTTCAAAACAAATACGTTACTACGTTACACGGACGGTATCGTGGATACGGATGTGACTAGTCGAAATAACCGATTTGAAAAGGCATTATGACTTGCAGCGCCTTTTGGAGAGCAACTCGAGAGCAGTATAACCAGATCCGAATTCTGTCATATTCAACTTTGGTGAACTGCTACTGAAAACTTCCGCCGACTGTTGCTGTATACCTTGCGACTACTGTTGCGAAGAAACGTTATTGGCAGCAACATCGAATTGCGTTAGTAAGTACCTGATCTGTTTCACCCCAACGCTAAGCCATCGAGCCCAGGATACATGGACGAGCGCGTGAACGGTAAAGAGACCGGATCAAAACGCGCGACTCCGGTGTGGACAAAGCGATGTTATTCGGCCGCAGCCGTGTCCCGTGTCCGATCAACGCGCATTGGGTTTTGAACATCCCTTAGCCGATTCGCGTTCAGCTACATCCACCGATCGGGTCAATTACCATAGACTAGGCGATGCACGGCTGTCAGCCGCAAACCACCTTGGATCTTGCGCGAACAGTTTCGGGGCTTATCGGGGGCTGAACACTGGCCGGGTGAGTAGACACAGGCGCGGATACGAGTGGGGTGATATGGGGGCTGAAGCCTTCCTATTAAACATAAGGTAGTAGCATAGCGGACGTAGGTACTTAAAACATTGAAAAATTAGACGTAAGAAAAACTTCGTACAAATCGACGTGCGTAACGAATCATGGCCAATAACTCACTTTACTAGCCACCCCCCAATTATTTCATTTCTAGATCCACACCCGGGTGGACGCGACCGCACAATTCGGAAATGTTAACAATTTAAGGGTACGATCCTTAGGACGCGTCTGTAGACGTGCGGCCCACGCGGTTGCCGCAGTGCGGCTGAGATTTTGAACGCGCGGCCGATCACGGATTTCTTAAAACGCAGCCGCAAGAGACGCTCATATTTTTCATACAAAATAAAATATTTATTAGAGCCCTTCAGTTGTTTTTCTACGTTTTAACAGTCAACAGTATATTGTTAATAATTAATTTTATTGTGTATAGTGAATACCTAAAATATTATATACAGTGCAGTGTAGGACGTAGATATCATGTCACTTAATCTGTAGAAAAAGTATGCTTGATGTTTTAAATCAAACTATCAAAGGTGATTGCTAACCAATTCAACCAACATTACATCTTCTTCGTACGAAAAAAGTAATTTTGATGACATATTATAGAAAAAGAAGCTAATAATAATAATATATTTGCATATGCTGGCCGCATGTCTCGTGCGATCTGACTGCCTTCAAAGCTGTCATCGCAACACGTCTATTTACGCATGCGACTGTCGCGCGCGTCTGCGGCGGTCTAGGAAATCCGTTTCTATTTAAAAATAAGTAAAGTAGTATCGGTGCATCCAAAATCTCGGCCGCACTGCGACAGCCGCGTTGGCCGCGCGTCTACAGACGCGTCCTAAGGAATCGCAGCTTTAACGTTCAGACCTATATTTGTGATTGTAACCCAAGTCACTCATTCTCTAGTACATACCACTCGTACCCGTTCAAGCTTTCAGGGCGTTATCCAACCCTTGTACGTTGTAGATATATTTCTCGGGGGGGGGGGGGGGCGAATGTCGCAGCAATTGTGAACGATACTACAAGTGCACGTGCAGGAGTGTATGGAACACAATTGCTACATACGATCATGTTCCACTGCTTCGCCCAGCGCATATATAGACTAATGCGTCGCTCCTAACGTCGTAGTGGAATGAATTAAATCTGCCAACAAATTATAAATCCATCGAAAATAATTTCGTTATCTCATTTTGTACCGTAGATACATATCGTTTCACCGTTTGATTGCATTGTACAGCTGATGCACCGACAATGATTGTTTTAATTTTTTTGGTTATCTGAACATTAACGTGCGATAGGTATTATGTATGTCGTAGAGAGTAAACCAACCGGAGACTAATTTTATATTTATTACAATGATATGTAATCAACTTAGGAGACAAAAAAAAAAAAACAACAGCCAACTAACCGTGTATTATAGCGTTACCGTTTATTTTAGCTTCAGAAAAACCTATTATCAATTATTCAAGAATGAATACCCCATCGAAGAAGATGAACAAAAGCAAACAAACAAAAGAGTAAATCTTTGTATTAGTTCATTAGTTTATTACTGTTCACCACTTGTTCTTAATTTTAATAACATATATATTTTTCACCCATATAATAATAAAATAATCTAACCTAATCAAACAAGAAATAAAAAATAAAAGTAAATTTAATATATTATAAACATTAAATAATATTAAACTTTATTCATTAATATGATATAATACCTGCATAGTTATAATATTTATGCTAAATTATTTTTTATTCTTCTTTGATTACACTTTGATATTTTTTTTTATTTCTTCAGGACTTTGTCTTTGGAAAAGAAGATTGAAACTCAACAAAAAAAGGTAAAGATATTAAGTGATTTTTAACTCTCAAAGTATCATTATTAATTTGCCTTGCATATAAATTGAAATAGTTAATTTTAATCGATCGATTAAATATTGGATTTTAAACTTTATTCTAATATTTGCTGATAGTAATAGAAAAAATGTTCAAAAAAAAATTACACTATTAGAAGGAAATAAGATTCATTTAATGACATAATTAATATTCGTTTTAACAAAAATTTATCATTTAGATTGATGCATAATAATATATCTCTGATATTCATATTTTTTTTTTTTCATTATTACTAATTTGGCATTTTTACAATTATGTATAACATTATTTTGTTGTTTAATACTTTTTCTATAAAATACATATTTTATATTATTCATATACAATTTTTTTATATAATTTAAACATAAAAATAATTTGACACGATCAAATTGATAGTTATTTATTTATGTTTTAAAATATGTTTTAAATGTTCTAACTAATATCCAAGACTTATTTGTTAATAAAATAATTTATATATTTACAAAATTACTAAACAATAATTATTTTTGAAAATATGTTGCATCTATTCGAAAATTAGTAAATCATACCGTTAATTTATAAATATGTAAAACACCGTCGTGTCCTTTATACTTGTTGTTAAATATATTATGAAATTGTATATCTGTGTAAGTAATACTAAATATGCAACTAGTTGTGATACAAGTTCGAAGAATGAGAAGAACTCATCTTCGAATGATAATGCAATTGACGGAAAAAACATTCAAGGCAGTGACTTAAAAATCATGAGTTATGCAAACGTTTGTAAAGTCATAAAACCAAAGATCGAAAAAATACGGACAATAGAAGAGAGAACTTGGTATGAATTATTAGTATTTTATGAATAAAAATATTTTCAATTTTTTAAAAAAATATTTTTTAATATTTTTAAGTTACTTGATAGAAATAGATGAAAATTTATTCAACTTGCCCAGCGACGTTGCTCTGGCTCATTGTGTAGCTGAGGATTTAAGAATGGGATTTGGAATTGCGGGGGAATTCAAGTAAAAATAACTTAAAAAAATTATATTGATGAAAATAACATTGATTTCAATCAATTGATAGACGTTATTTCGGCGGTGTTGGTCAACTGTTCGACCAAAATCTAACAGTAGGAAATGTTGGCGTGGTTGTCAATGAACGTAGTGAAACCGCTTTTTACTTGGTTACAAAACAATACAGTGGCGGAAAACCTACATTACAATCTTTATCAATAGCTCTAAAGTCCCTACTAGTAAAAATGAAAGCATTGAATTTAACAAAATTAGGAATTCCGAAAATCGGTTGCGGTTTTGACGGTTTAGATTGGAAGCAAGTCAAGGACCTTATTGTTAGTATATTTGCTGGAACACGAATAAGTATAACAGTTTGCATTCCCTCTAAAGTAAGTATAAGTAATTACCAAATATATTGTACCTTTAATTCTATCATAAACCTTTGCAAGATATTCAATCACGTACCGCCGCCGCAGTTGAAAGTATATATAACACCGAAAGAGATATCGAAATTAGAAGCGAAGAGCGATATTCTACTCTTCATCGATCTTGAAAAGTCTAAAAAGAACGATTGGACAGATGATCTAGTGAATAAAGTAAACGCCGAATATCCGTCATTGAAAGAAAAGTAATTATGTTTAAAATGTCTTTGCAATTTTGTGCTGAGATGTATAAATTATTTATCGTAAACATACTTATATTTATAAATTATTTATCATTCGATACATATCAAAGATATATATATATATATATGCTATATCTGATTGAAAGGTTTGAAAAGTTAAATTTGATAAAAATATAATTTATATTTTGTCTGTCCATAGGTTATTGAAAGATATCAAAAGAAATGTGTTATGTCCCGGAGACGTAACCACTTATTTCATAAAAAAAAGTGAAAATCAATTGTTTATTCACCAGTACAACTGCATATTTTAGTTCAATTGAAAGAGGATTTAACAACATTAGGAAAGGCATTAGAAGCTACACAAATTTTGCTTTCCAGTGTGGACCTATCAAACCCACCGATAACTTTAAATTTATATCACGAATGGTATCGGTACTGAGATCCATCATCCATGGTTCTGAATTGTGGTTGTGTGGGGACAAAAACCAAAAAAAAGAGAAAGAAATCTATGAAAATTACTGCAAGATAGTTACTACCGAAATGAGAGTTGTATCTAGAGCAACAGCATTTAGCAACTTACCAAATGCCGGAGGTTCGAAAGAGCGTAATGCTATGTCAAATAATCAAAAGTGGAAAAATGCTTCAACGAAAAAGAATAAGCGTAGAAGATAGGTATTTTTTATAAATAAATACGAACAGTTGTACCCACGTCTCTAATTCACCTATAAAAGATAAAACACTGTTTTATAAGATATTAAAGAAAAATTTCAATTACTATAAATAATAATTAAACCAACCGAACACAAGTGCATATTTAAAGTAAACATTAAGTAGGTAGATACATTTCATAATCTATGTAAACGTATCAGTATAATATACAAATTCAGAACGGACACCAATATCACAATTTATTTGAAGTTTTTTTTTCACCTCTTTTAATCTATACAATGATTATGATTTTCTGTTCCCAATAAAATATTTCAACTCCAAATTATCATAAGATTATTAATTATGAACTCGACAATAGCCAAGCATTAATTATAGATCCATAAATGAGATTTATAATAATTTAATATTTTACTAACAAAATATATTTATTTTCTAGAACGCTAATGGAATCGACGTCAAGCTCTTTTGAAAATGTACACTGTTCCCATTTTAAAATTTGTTTTGAACATCCATTCAGTTTTATTTCACCATAATTTATTTATATTATTTTCATTCCGTAACGTACGTCTTACTTTTATAAGCACTATTTGTCAATCCATTAACTTTCTCGCAATGTTTGATCACTGCCAATATTGACTATTTCGGTTCATTACATATTTTTTAATAGAAATTTTTAAATTTCAATTACGTTTCACTGAAAACTATTAAGTTATTTCCTGAATCTTCGATTTTTTTTTCCATACTCGTGGGTTTTCCGTATCTGTATGTGTGCGAAAATATAAATTTGACTCTTTTCGGTTAACAGTCACTCCAATTTGACATCGAGTATTTTTTCACATTGAGCTAACTTATTTCGTGTACCACACAAGATGTTTTAGACTTATTGTTGTCGAATTCTTTATTGGTTTGTTAATAGCGACTTTTAAGTAATGTAATGTATTTATACGAGAATTAATACCTAGCTATCTGGAAAGTGAAGAATTTATCGGTTTTGATGTAATCACACACAAATCATATCAGCAACTTGGAAATATTTAAATATTTAAGAGTATAGTTACTTTGTGGATTAAATTCTGTTGTACATTCATACATTCTCATTCACTTTAAACGAAACCTTCCTATGCTTTTTTATTAAACATTAGAGGATCGTTTTGTTTAAAGTGAATTGAAATGTATGATTGTATAATAGGATTTTATGCACACAGCAATCATACTCTTAAATATTTAAGTATTACCAATTCGCTGATGTGATTATACTGGTATATTAAAACCAATAAGGTATTCAAATTTTAGGTAGCCATTTAAATGTATAAATCTTTAATTGTATTATTTAATAAACGTTTATAAAATTCGATAAAGTAGTGGACTACAGTTAATAATATAATATGTATGTTACGGTACTCTAGGTGCATAAATACTCGATGTTAAATTGAAGTCTTTATATTATGAAAAATTGACCAATTCCGTCCACACATGGCAGTTCGGAATGTATTATCCCAGACCATTTATTAGATGTTATGCAATAACAACAATTCGGCTATAGGATGGTCACTTTTCGAAGACCTTTTGATACGTAACAGGTTTTTCTTATTCATTTTCATTAGCCTTTTGGTGATATTGTTTTATACAATGTATATATTACAAATATAAATTGTCCTGCACGTGATGGCCGAGCTTGTTTCCCGAAATTATGAACATCCAGTGTAGCTTATTGTACAAAGATTCCTGTGCCGTTGCGTTTGCTGTGAACCAGTTGTTAGCCACAAATCGACCGTGAGTATATTATATTCTTCGATTAGCAACAGTGTTGCTGATCGGCGATCATCATTATTGATTTGCCGCCACGAGTGCATGATAAACATTTGTATAATTTACGCACATTTATTAGTTGCAATACGTATTACTTATCATAGTGATTTTGACTGGACATCATCAAAGACCAATTACGTCATAAACATACGGACACGTTAACATTTCAGTAGTGGAAAACCATGGTGGTTTGCCTCCTGAACAACCGTGTCCGGATACAATATGGATTTTTTCGACTTTGGATAGTACGGAAAGGAAACACGACGTGAGATTAGAGAAATATGAAGACACCGAAATGTTCTGCCACCACCTTCTAACGAAAACACAATCAACAATTTATTTAATAACATGCGAGAAGCCGAAATATGTAATACGCTCCAATCTCGTTCTGGGCTGTCAGCAGCGACTTAAACGTACCGTTGTACAGAACCATGAAAAAACCAGAATTAATAATTGGAAAGCTCATTTTAATATGATCCATATCAAATCATTACTCTTTTAAATTGAGAAAAAAATGGTTGAAAACTGAAGATGAACTTTTTCGTTGTTAGATACTTTTTCTACGACACCCACGTACATTTGAACAGTAAATGTTATGATATTATAATAATAAATAATAATTTTGTTTACGTTTATCTTTTTATTGTATATTTTTTACACTGTCGCAATAGTCAGCGTTGTTTTGGTAATGAAAATATAATTTCATAATATTACAACTGCTTGAAAAATGTAAATGTTTGGTTCAAACAAAAAAAAATTATAAATATAATTTATTTATCATTTTAAAACTCGTACACATTTTTGGTTTAAAGGTATTCGAAAGTATTAACCGTAACCATAATATTTTAATTTTTTTTTTTTTTAAGCTGATTTTGAACTGCGGTAAATATCGATGTATTCGACATTTCCCGTTCTGTCAACGCTTAGAATTTTTTAATCGAATCCCAAAAGTAGGTATTGTTCGTGTTAGCATATCAAGAAGTCGACACGATATGCACACGTATGTCCAACAACTTAGTACTATGCATTATGCATACGAATATTAGTTTAGTAGTATATTTTAAAGTGTTAATCGGTTAGGAATTTTATCGGTACATTGTATCTTGTTGCAGATTCTATCTAAGTGATTCAAATTTCGTGGTTAATCGAATAATAATGTATCATTGCATATGTTTAAAACAGACGTCAAGTAACAAAAGTATAATTACCATATAAATCCTCAAACGTGTAATTCGGTGCAAAGTTATTGAATCATTTTATCTGGTGCGAATGCGCACGTTCACACATACACACACTCACGCGAGTACGTATGCACACACTCAGACAAAGATTTAAGCTGTATCGTCATAACGTTGCGTATTATGATAATTAAACCGATGATAATCTGCCAAATGGAATATGGCCAGATTAATGATTGCCATTCCGAGAACGTATCTGTACTGTGCAGTTCGTATATCACAGCGGACCGTGTCGGCGACGAGCGGATATATTTATATTTTTTTGTGCTAAGGTACAAAACAGATGATCTAAGACGAACAATCAACAACAATATTTATCAACTATGTCATCAACGCTAATAGTATGAGTATAAATTATCGTGTTTGATGATTTTTAAAAAAATATAACTGTGGAAGAACGAAAGAGATCGATTTCATAAATATTGATATCATTCACGTAATTCTAGAAACTGGACTCTGTGCGCGTTTATTTCTTGCTACCACTGAGAATTTAACGTACAAAAAAAATAAACTCTCGAAGTAGTTACCTTCTCACTCCCGTTACACCGGTACATAAATATTGTTAATGTTTAAACAATTTAAAATTAAAAGAATACATGTTTGGTCGCCAGTACGTTTAACAATAGTTAGTTAATTCGTGCAAAAGTGTGAATGAGGTATTATTATATTCGTCCAATGATAATAAATAAATAAAATTAAAAATTATAATACTTAAATTATGTTAAAACATCATAATTGGTTAGGTTTCGTAAATATACTTTTGTCCGTAAGTAATAAACGTAAGCATGCTTATATCAGTGATGTGATTACTGGTCAGAAATCCAATTTAAGTGAAAAAAAACTATTTTATCATAATGACGGCAATAAAATAACTCCAAAATACTGGGAAAAATATATACATTCGTTTACAACCATTAAATGGTAATATATACTTTATTTACTTTAAACATTAAACATTTCGTAAAATATAAGATGTTATATAAGAATTAAATTCAAAGGTTTTAATTTCCTTTATTTGTGACATTATTATAGGGGTTTAATAGTAATTTCAATTAATTGTCCAAATATTTTATTTCTTGTTTTGGAATGTCGCGTATCCGAAAAAATTAGTGAACGATACAGAACATCTTGATTTTGATCTATTCTACGTATTTTTCGTGAATTATGTTCACAATTTTATTTAAATCTTTGTTTCTGGCTTTTTCTATTCTCCCTCAAAAATTCGATCATAGAAAAAATATTTACGTTAACTGCTACCATCAAAACCAACCCAATTTATATATTATTTCAAAATTATGCATGCCAATTTCTATTTTTGGTATAGATGGGATCGTAGAAGGTCGAGCAGTTATATAATTATTTAGAAGATCTTGTGTTGATTTCACAAGATGTTACTTTAATAATGAAACTATCAAGTAACACTTGTTTTTCAAAGTATGTCCGAAAGCGGGATAAATATACATACGTTTTTTTTTCTTTAGTTGAGTCGAATATTAATCTCGTATATTACTTTTCTGTCAAATCTATTTCCAAATCAAATTAATATTTTAAATTAATTAAATCAATTAATTAGAGTTTAATAAATATTTTAATCAAATTAATTTTTTATCAAATCTATTT